CCCTACCCCGTCTCGAACGCCCTTTCCTCTCTCCCTACCCCTTTCCCTGCCCCCCTCCCGCCCACCCCTTCGTCTACCCCCCTTACCCCCCTCCCCCCCTTCACACGTTCATCTGTGTCCATTACCCTCGTGGTGCGCGCGTAGGGTCCCGAAGGAGTAAGTGGGGTGGGGAGGGGGGGGGCAATTTTCACCCTTGCGGCAAAGTGTAGGATGGCTGACGATCCTCGAACGGGTGTAGCTGTGGCCTGCGGGTGGTTCGTCGACGATGATTGGTTCCCGCCAGTGCTGTATGAAGTAGTTATCACTCGCCGATTTCGGGGCCAGATTTTCTCCCCATCTTGGTTACATTAGCATCATCTGGCCGGGGCTCCTCTGTCTGTCTTTCTCTGTCTCTGTCTCTCTTTCTTTCTTTCTTTCTTTCTCTTTCTCTTTCTCTTTCTCTTTCTCTTTCTCTTTCTCTTTCTCTCTCTCTCTCTCTCTCTCTCTCTCTCTCTCTCTCTCTCTCTCTCTCTCTCTCTCTCTCTCTCTCTCTCTCCCTCTCTCTCTCTCTCTCTCTCTCTCTCTCTCTCTCTCTCCTCTCTCTCTCTCTCTCTCTCTCTCTCTCTCTCTCTCTCTCTCTCTCTCCCTCTCTCTCTCTCTCTCTCTCTCTCTCTCTCTCTCTCTCTCTCTCTCTCTCTCCCTCTCTCTCTCTCTCTCTCTCTCTCTCTCTCTCTCTCTCTCTCTCTTCTCTCTCTCTCTCTCTCTCTCTCTCTCTCTCTCTCTCTCTCTCTCTCTCTCTCTCTCTCTCTCTCTCTCTCTCTGTTTTTGTCTCCCCTTGCTCATTATTATTTTACTTGGGTAGACTATCGTTGTATTTCGAGACGATTAGAATTACAAATTTTGTGAAATTGATGCAGAGGCCGGAGGACCGTCGTGGGGGGAAGCTCTGGTGATTATAGTGTTGGAAGGGCACGAGGAGGGTACGGGGAAGCATATGGATATAAATTAGCATGTAACTGTTTGCTCTGTTCTGAAATAATGTACTTTTGGGGGTGGGGGTGGGGAGGCTACGTTATGTGGTCCTCTGCTCTGGAGAACTTTCCCGAAGTTGCATCGATAGATTTATTAATATCGGGTGTGATCGGTGATTCGGTTTATATGTCATGCTTTCCCGTAATATGCCGTCTTCGGTTCGAGTGTCGGTCCTTTTCCGTGTTCGTAATATACTTACCATTTGTATTCATTAGCGTCTGTTGGTCTTAACCGCTTAAGAGTATGGTGTGTATGTGTGTCCGAGATAGAGGAGCACATGTATTATGGTAATGCACAGACCACCTGCTTCGAGCTGTTCGTTGGAGGCTGGTCGTGTTTGCATGTGTGCTTGTGTGTGCGCATGCGTGTGTGCTTGAGCTTGTGTGAGTGCGTGTGCGTGTGCGTGCATGTGCGCGTGTGCGGCGTGTGCGCATGCGTTTGTCTTGGTGTGTGCGTTCGTGTACGCGTGTCTATCACGTGCGCGAACTCCTGACTTGCCTCACTTGGGCACTTGCCAAGTTTTCTCGTGTGTGTGTTTTTTGCGTGCAAGGAAAGACGGGAAAAGGGTTCAACTAGATGATATGCATTATCATGGTACAACTCCTCCCGCGGGACCCAGACCCTTTCTGTGAAGCAAGACGGGTGTTAGAAGCCATTCATTATTTTACATTTACCAGCACGTGTATTTTTATATTTACGTTTACCTGTTAATGTATATATATAGATATATATCGCGTAAACCTGTGTTCGTAATTCACTCTATTGTCGGTATTAACGTTGTAATTTCAGTGGCAGTTACTCAAATACCGACCTAATTATGTCTGCATTTGACACGGCGGCAAATTACTGTACGTTGAGGTCTTAATCATCCGGCTAATGAAGACATAGGCCTACGCGTCCCTTTATAATTCGAAGTTATATAATGTCACTCATTGATCGTCATGTGAGGTGTGTATTTAAGGGAGCCTAAACACAGTCCTTAATTATGGAGGACTTGAAGGGGCGGAGACAGAGGTTGAGAATATTAATGGTGGTGTCATATGTCTTTTCAGTTAGCGTTTGTTCTTTTTTTTTGTTTTGTTTTTTGTTTTTATGACTGGTCTTGGGTCGCCTTTCTTTGTTTTGTATTGGTGGGGAATGATTACTTAGCGTCGCCCGCTTGCCTGAGTCGTAGTAATAGTTGTTGTTTATGGGGAAACAACTCGTGAAGAGGTCTCGCGCATGTGTTAAAATCACAAGATATCGTCAGTTACGGAAAAGTGAAAATGCGTACACCGTTTTTTTGACATGAAGTTGATCGAGGTAAGAAGGATGAACGGGCATTAGCATTACCCTGATGGGCTTTTCCTGGGATGATGGAAGGGCGGGGGAGGAGCCAGGGCCGCAGCCTCGCATGTCCACCCTGAGGGCCGAGCCACCGAGCGCCACTTCACGCACATCGACGCCTCTTAGGGTCAGAGTCCCCCGGCGAGACATGCGATTCGCTGCCGTAGTGCACGCCGCTGGCTGGCTGGCTGGCAGGTGGATTGACCCTTGACCTTGGCGGGGTCTTCTGTTACGTGACCCTTATGCTAGAGTGCCGGAGGCTGCTCCCCTTCCCTCCCTTAGGTAATTGGCCCCTCCCTCTCTCTACGCAATTAGTACCCATGTAGTCTACCTTCATGTGCTTTGCTCTCTCGTGCGCGAGCATTAGTGAAAAGTCTGCGGTCTTTTTACACATTATTAAAAAGAAACGGATTAAATATTCAGTGTGTTTAGGGAAGAAACGAAACGAGTAAATACATCAAGAATCGGCGTTTCGTGGCGAGTGGGCTTTGGCACAGTAGCCCACTCGCGCCGCGCTCCTCTTCCGCCCTCTGGCTGCAGGCGTGGCGGGGGGAGGCGGCAGTCGGGCGTCGTCCTACAGCACAGTAGTTGCCGCAAGTTCCCCGGGGCGCTTTTGTATCAGCTTCATCGTGCCCTCGCAGTAATGGCCGTAGGCGTCCTCAGGGTTGTTGCTTTTGCTTGGTAATGCTGTACATGGGAGGTCAAGAGAAGGAAAAAAGAGGGGGGGGTCGTTTGATAGATGAACATGCTGTGGGAGGTGGTGTGGTACCATCTGTTGGTAATGATAACGTATGTATAATTATTTTCTTTTACCGTCTTCATTTTCATTTTTTAAATCGCTTGACTGTCCAGTTTTTGATTACTAAAGAGTTTTTTCTTTGGACAGGAGGCGTAGGGCACCGGCGACGCGTGCTGGTTCTGGCCCTACCAGACCTGGTGGCTGACACGGAAGGCAGAGCTAGCGGGTCGTGCACGCCCCCATCCTCCGCGCACTCCCCTACGGAGGCCAAGGGCTCCCGGGTGTCATTCAGCCACGCCGTCGGCAACGCGACCGGCGGCGCTACCAGAATCCACCCCCGGCCAGCTTGGAGCCGCCCTCGGGCTCTGTCTTGTGACGTCACGCTGGAAGTCGAGTTGGGGCAAGAGCTCCGGAGGATCGGCGACACTTTCCACCGGGCTCATGCTATGGTAAGCGGTTGAAGTGTGAATCATGTTAATGTTAAGAAAAGGGTATTTAGACCCATTGCAGATGTGTACTATAGTATGTGATTGCAGTTAGTCACATTAATGTCAAAATGAGGTAACAGACTGGATTTATGCAGTTGTGTGCAATTGGATGGTAAGGCAATGTTTATATTGTTCAAACTAAGTAAGGGTGAATATAATTATGAGAACATTATACGTGTTACATGTTGGTCTAAACATATAGTTTATAACAATTATATGATTTCTCAGTCACTAAAAGTCCTATTTAAAAAAATGAAAAGCAACCATATTGTGTATACGTTACTGCGTTCACTTAACACGTACTTCTTAACTCGCAGGCCATGAATGAGGAAGCAAGTGTCTGGAGTCGACTGCGCAGGAGTTTTCGCTCCTCGGGCTCCCGGTCCACCCTCACAACATCGTAAGAATCACCAACAAACTCACCATCAACTCACCAGTGAAATCAAGGTTTAGAACTTCGCTCGTGAGAAGAAACCGTGGAAAAGATCAACTGGCTTTCAGAGGAAGTGTTAAATTTTGTCTAATTATGAATAGAGGATTGTTCTGTACCTAGTTCTAGATGACTACTTACTCGTGCCTTATGTACTGCATTGCATAATCAGTCCAAAAACTTTTGTGACATATGTTAATATGTAGTAGGGTTATGTTGCATGCCTGTTGTAGCATATGATGTTTATGGTTTGGTAAAGTTAAGTATTATGCATTTACTGTTCATAACAATCTTTCATTAGGTTGTTGTAATGTAAAACTTGTTTGGGTAATTTAAATTAAGTGTTAACATGGTTTGTACTAAAGATTATATTACACCTGCATAGTGTTGCTCAAGAATTAAGGTGTGGTGCCATAACATTGTCCCTTTAAAAGTCTGATGAATTTTGCAGGACTGTATAACACTCATTCAGCGTAGCACTAGGATGACATTTACATAAAGACATGTATGGGTATTATTAATTCGCATGTAATTGCTTGTTCATCAGCTTGTTCAAGTCATTGAATTTTGCTCATAACCAATAAGTAAAACTCCCTTTGTGCTCATTAGTAAGAACAGAGATGGAATAGAAGTGTTATCTAAATCATAATTGATATGTAATATCTTAAAGTGAAGAACTTGATAGCTTAAAAGATTTTGGAAAGTTAGACATGGATTAACAGTTTCAGATATAAATCTATAAGCTAATATGCTTTTCTTGATAAAGGCATGCAAGTTAATAGCCAATATGTCCAGCAACTTCTAATTAATGTAAATACAGGGTATTGTTAGTGTATAGGAATGTCATTAGGTGTTACTGGAACATTTAGGTTATTATGTAAAGAAAATGCTTTTGGTTTTCTGTACAAAGTAAAATAAAACCAGTTGTTAGGATTTTCTGTAACCAAAAGTTTTGCCAAATTTAGGGCAACTTTATTTCAAATTATTACAATGTTAATAATTGTAT